AATTAGGGCCACATGGAGGGTTCATGCTTGTGTAAGGACTACTGCGAAGTTAGCCTTGAGTTTACAGGGAGGGTTAGTGGTAAGGCCGCATGGAGAGTTCATGTTAGTATAAGGGCTACAGGGGAGTTAGTGTTGGGTTTAAAGGAAGGGTTAGTGTTAAGGCCATATGGAGGGTTCATGTTAGTGTAAGGGTTATGAAGAATTTAGTGTTGGGTTTACTAGGAGGATTAGTGTTAAGGCCACATGGACGTTCATGTTCATGTAAGGGATACAGAGGAGTTAGTGTTGGGTTTACAGGGAGGGTTAGTGTTAAGGCCACATGAAGGGCTCATGTTAGTGTAAGGGCTATGAAGAATTTAGTGTTGGGTTTACAGAGAGGGTTAGTGTTAAGGCCATATGAAAGGTTCATGTTAGTGTAAGGGCTATGGGGGAGTTAGTCTTAGGTTTACAGGGAGGGTTAGTGTTAAGGCCATATGGAGGGTTCATGTTATGTAAGGTCTATGACAGAGTTAGTATTGGGTTTACAGGGAGGGTTAGTGTTAAGGCCATATGGAGGGTTCATGGTATGTAAGGACTATGACAGAGTTAGTATTGGGTTTACAGGGAGGGTTAGTGTTAAGGCCATATGGAGGGTTCATGGTATGTAAAGACTATGACAGAGTTAGTATTGGGTTTACAGGGAGGGTTAGTGTTAAGGCCACATGGAGGGTTCATGTTAATGTAAGGACTAGGGTGCAGTTAGCATTAGGTTTATAGAGAGTTTTAGTGTTAAGGCCATGTTGAGGTTCACGTTAGTGTATAGGCTATGAGGAATTTAATGTTGGATTTCCAGGGAGGGTTAGTGTTAGGGCCCCAAGGAGGGTTCATGTTAGTGTTAGGGTTACAGAAAAGGTTATGTTAGGTATACAGGAAGGATAATGGAGAAGTCAAATGGAGGTTAAGTAATAGGAAGGTTCATGTTAGCATTAGGGTTACCAGATGGGTTACTGTTAGAGTAAAGGTTAGCGTTGTGCACTTGCATAAACACTAATCCTGATATCCTAGTGACAAAAACTTACGTACCAATCTCCTCATATACCCTTTTCAAAGTAACTATAGAGTTCAAGTTTTTAATGAACCTGTAACCATTATTTGCTTCCACGCATTTGCAGTAAAATGTCGGGATTGTTTGGCCTCCTGCTACATGTTCACACTTGTTTTCTTGTTGAAGAAATGGTTTGGAAATGGCTACTGTCCTATTAAGGCCGCAGTCCTCTCTTCAACGTATTTTCTAAGCAAATGGTACTTTTTGTTCATCTGGCTTTTCATCTGGAATACAGATGCTGTCCTGCCTCATAACACAGTTAGTTTACTATTGTGGCTTTCAGATGTCACGGTTACTCAACATGGACACTGCAGCCAATCCAGGTTGTGCTAGGTTTCCTTCTGCTGGGCAGCCATAATGCTTCACAAAATAAATAACTCCCATTAAAGCTGACGTTTAATCTGCTTAGATTTAGCGTTCCCTGGTTCTTCCTTTCCCCATCCATCAACATGTTAATGACATTTTAAATAAAAACCTGTTTCCATTTACATACCTTATTTTATACCCAATGATATCATCACTGGGTATCTGTTTTCTTCTGTGCATTGCAAGCAGATTATGGCTGGTAGAACTGCTGTACGTAGCTCCTGTAAAACATCACAGTAGGTGCAAAAAAAGAAAATTCTAAATTTTGGGCTGTCCAGAGCAGTAATATTGGCCTAATTTTCCAATGGTGAATCTAATTCTGGTGACAGCCTGGCATTCCCTCCTTTCGTGTTTTGGTTATGGGACAGGAAGTAAAAGTAAATCTCCCCAATGGGACACAGATGGTAAAAAAAACAAGGGTTATAACCCTCCCTTATTTTATTCAAAATGAAAATAAATGTTTTCTACTTTACAAGGCCTTCGGCATTCAAAGAGTAAAGTCAGATCTCCTGATGTTCATACTTGTCCTCTGTCACTGACTCAGAAAGCATTGAAGATATTGGATTAGCATGAGAGCCAGGCAACTAGTAATTGTCAGAAGGAGCAGTCAACAGCCACAGCCTACATATTTTCCCCAGCACAGGTTTATTTTAAGAGAATGTTTCAAATTCGTTATGAACCTTCCATGGGTATTATTAAATGGGAAAAGAGATTAAAAAATAAGAATCTCCTTGTTCATTCATATGTATTGAGGATAGAGATTGGGATGTATCTGCAACCATTTTTTCAACCATTTGGATAAAGTGTAGGTTTCCAGTCTCTGGCAGGTTTGTACTGCTGTCTCTGTCCAGCTGGAGAGATCCAAACTTTTACAGTTGTCACCAGAACAGGAATAAACAGTACATTTTCCAAGAGGGACATTTGTTCTAATGACGACTGTCTAAGAGAGGACTTTCCTTTGTAGAGATTTCCTGTTGTGTCTCCAAGACAAAATTGAAAGAAAACCTGATGGGTTTAGACCCTCCAATACTCTATCCAAAACTAAAAAAAAAACATTACCACTGACTTTGCTTGGTTTATGGAAATCTCTCTGGGCACATTATAGCACTCTTATCAATTTACTGTACTTTGGCTCTGGGATCGTGTTTTCAGCACTCAGGAGAACAATTAATCCTTAAACTGCTTCTCTACGCTCCCTTTACATTGTAACAGCTGGAAAATATTTTACAAAGTTTTTGTAGAATAATGTATGTTCTTTTATCAGTAGCATATACCTGGAAGACCCTATAAATTCAGCAGTTTTGTGGTATAAGATGTTAAAAGACCAATACAATTCATTGTTTATGAGCTACACATTGTTACCCATATAATTATGAGCCTTCAGAATTTGCATACCACTACTCAAGTTGTTTATGAATGAAAACTCAGATACATTTTTTTGCATAAAAAAAATTATATATACAGTTGCAAGAAAAAGTATGTGAACCCCTTGGGATTATGTGGAGTTTTGCATGAATTGGGCATAAAATGTGCTCTGAACGTCATCTAAGTCACAGCAATAGAAGAACACAGTCTGCTGAACATAATACTACACAAACATTAGATGTTGCCATGGTTTAATTGCACATAACATGTAAACATTCACAGTGCAGGGAGGAAAAAGTATGTGAGGCCCTAGCTTAATGACTTCTCCCAGAGCTAATTGGAGCCAGGAGTGAGCCAACCTTGACTCCAATCAGTGTGATGATATTGGATGTGTTGCTGACAGCTGTCCTGCCTTTAAAAAACACATACCTGTTTTGGCTTTACTGGTTTCAAGAAGCACTGTCTGATGTGAACCATGCCTCACAGAAAAGAGCTCTCAGAAGACCTACGATCAAAATTGTTGACTTGCATGAAGCTGGAAAGGGTTACAAAAGTATCTCCAAAAGCCTTGATGTTCATGTGTCCACGGTAAGACAGACTGTCTACAAATGGAGAGAGAGTTTAGCACTGTTGCTACTCTCCCTAGGCGTGGTCGTCCTGTAAAAATGACTGCAAGAGCACAGCTCAGAATGCTGCATGAGGTAAAGAAGAATCCCAGAGTGTCAGCTAAAGACCTACAGAAATCTCTGGCACATGCTAACATTTTTGTTGACACATCTACAATAAGGAAAACATTAAACAAGAATGGAGTACATGGGAGGACACCACGGAGGAAGCCATTGCTGTCCAAAAAGAATATTGCAGCACGTTTGAAGTTTGCAAAAGAGCACCTGGATGTTCCACAGCACTACTGGCAAAATATACTGTGGACAGATGAAACCAAGATTGAGTTGTTTGGGAAGAACACACAACACTATGTGTGGAGAAAAAAAGGCACAGCACACCAACATCAAAACCTCATCCCCACTGTAAAACATGGCGGAAGGAGCATCATGGTTTGGGGCTGCTTTGCTGCCTCAGGGCCTGGACGGATTGTTGTCATTGATGGGAAAATGAATTCCAGAGTTTATCAAGACTTTTGCAGGAAATCGTACAACCATCTGTCCGCCAACTGAAGCTCCGCAGAGGATGGGTGATGCAACAGGACAATGACCCAAAGCATACAAGTAATTCAACAAAACAATGGCTGCAACGGCACAGAATACGCCTTCTGAAGTGGCCCAGTCAGAGTCCTGACCTCAACCCGATTGAAATGCTGTGGCATGACCTTAAGAGAGAAATTCAAACCAGACATCCCAAGACTATTGCTACACTGAAACAGTTTTGTGAAGAGGAGTGGTCCAAAATTACTCCAGATCGTTGTGCGGGTCTGATCTGCAACTACAGGAAACGTTTGGTTGAGGTTATTGCTGCCAAAGGAGGGTCAACCAGTTATTAAGTCCAAAGGTTCACATACTTTTTCCTCCCCTGCACTGTGAATGTTTACATGTTATGTGCAATTAAACCATGGCAACATCTAATGTTTGTGTAGTATTATTTTCAGCAGACTGTGTTCTTCTATTGTTGTGACTCAGATGACGTTCAGAGCACATTTTATGCCCAATTCATGCAAAACTCCACATAATCCCAAGGGGTTCACATACTTTTTCTTGCAACTGTATATATATATATATATATATATATATATATATACACTGTATATATCTTTATTGAACATTACTCTCATAAACCACAGGGAATCCAGAAAGTGTGAAGCTATAGCAAGGATGACTATGAAAACAAAGTCTATTTCTCTTGTAGAAGAGGGTTCTTTTGTTGGTGTTGTGCTGTGCAAGCTATGTTTTTATTTTTATGTTTCTTTGCTAGTAACCGCCAAATCACTACCTATACATATAAAATGTTTTTTGAGGCCTAACACAAGACATGGTGAATGAAAGGCTGTCGCCACCACAGCATATGTTGTATTATTTTATATTGGTGATAAAATGCTTCATTTCCATTTGAAAGCTCATGAGATACTGTATATATATGTGTGTGTGTGTATGTGTGTTATAATGTATATACTGAAGGTGTTGCATCAATTTCTTCCCAGGTGATTCTCTAGTGGACAGATGAGAACAAAAGGATGACTAGCTGGGCCAGCCGCTTTTTCAATGGTCTTATCTTTTTTCTCCTGGTGATGTCTTCAAAAGGTAAATCCAATTTTGGAATATGATATGAGTTGCTTTTAAAATTCTCTGATGGCTTTGATCATACAATTTCCTGGTATGAGTTAAAGCGCCCTAGTCTCAGGTAGCAACTGGGAGGTTCCTAGTTTGCCTCCTAGAATCTGACTGCTTAACCACTCAATGTCCTCGATGTTGGCATTAACCTTACGGACCTTCACTCCAAAAAAGGAAATATTGCTTCCTGCAATAACCCTAATTTTTGGGGGTGGGTTGGTTGATATCTTCAGAGATTGTAGGAGCAGAGACATGGTATAGGTAAGTATGGCATGCCTCTGCTCCTACAACCTCATGGGAGCAATTCTGGCACTCATTGTTGGAGGCAGGCTGCAATATCCGAGAAGAGACAGCTGAGTTCCCAATGATGTCAGTGAGGAAGGTGGCAGCCTGAGCCCCATGCTGTGGAACCTAGGCAGTGGATCACAGCAGGAAATGCTAGATTTTTTCTGGTTAGGGGAGAAGGACAACCCTGGCAGGAAAAGTGGAAGAAAAAAAAAGCATGAAGAATGTAGTTACTTTTCAAGTTCCATCTAGACTTGGTAGTCATCGGTGGGTTTTATTAAAGCACAAGCAGTACATGGCAAGCATTCCGATGCACAAACAGACACAATTCTTCTGGTGGTGTTTTTTGAGAATGTGATATAGTAGCACTGGCAGCCCTCTTGCAGTTCTTAACATCTAGTAGGCAGCACAGTGGCTAAGTGGTTAGCACTTCCTCCTGGCAACAGTAAATTTATCAGTTTGAATCCCAGCCTTGGCATTACCTGCATGGAGTTTGCATGTTCTCCGAGTGCCTGCATGAGTTTTCTTAGGGTACTCCAGTTTCCTACCACATTCCAAAGACATGCTGGTAGGATAATTGGCCCTAGCATGTGTATGTATGAATGTGAGGGGCCTTAAATTGTTGGCTCCTGTGTAAATTGTTCTCTGCTGTATAAATACCCATAAATAATAATAAGCCTAAGGCAAATGACCAGTGTAAAAAGCATCTGATGGATGGGTTGCATAAAATGTGTGGGTAATGATGCCATTCATAAATGCAAGCTCAGCTTCAGTGCTCAAGCTAGTGCAAGGTCAGAGAATGGTAGATTCCTCCCGAGGTTTCTCAAGTAGGTATTTTTCTGTGACAGATTCTTTGAAAGGAGAATTAAATTACTCTTTACTAACGTGGGCTGGTAGTAAAGGTGATAGAATACAGTGCCTTGAAAAAGTATTCATACCCCTTGAAATTTTCCACATTTTGTCATGTTACAACCAAAAATGTAAATGTATTGTATTGGGATTTTATGTGATATACCAACACAAAGTGGCACATAATTGTGAAGTGAAAGGAAAATGATAAATGGTTTTCACATTTTTTTACAAATAAATATCTGAAAAGTGTGGTGTGCATTTGTGTTCAGCCCCCTTTACTCTGATACCCCTAACTAAAATTTTGTGGAACCAATTACCCTCAGAAGTCACTTAATTAGTAAATAGAGTCCACCTTTGTGTAATTTAATCTCAGTATAAATACAGCTGTTCTGTGAAGCCCTCAGAGATTTGTTAAAGAACATTAGTGAACAGACAGCATCATGAAGATCAAGAAACACACCAGACAGGTCAGGGATAAAGTTGTGGGGAAGTTTACAGCAGGGTTAAGTTACAAAAAAATATCCCAAGCTTTGAACATCTCACTGAGCACTGTTCAATCCATCATCCAAAAATGGAAAGAGAATGGCACAAATGCAAACTACCAAGACATGGCCGTCCACCTAAACTGAGGAGAGCATTAACCAGAGAAGCAGCCAAGAAGCCCATGGTAACTCTGGAGGAGCTGCAGAGATCCTCAGCTCAGGTGGGAGAATCTGTCCACAGGACATCTATTAGTCGTGCACTCCACAAATCTGGCTTTTATGGAAGAGTGGCAAAAAGAAAGCCATTGTTGAAAGAAAGCCATAAAAAGTCCCATTTGCAATTTGTGAGAAGCCATGTGGGGGACACAGAAAACATGTGGAAGAAGGTGCTCTGGTCAGTTGAGACCAAAATTGAACTTTTTGACCTAAAAGCAAAACGCTATGTGTGGCAGAAAACTAACACTGCACATCACCTGAACACACCATCCCTACCGTGAAACACGGTGGTGGCAGCATCATGTTGTTTCTTCATCAGGGACAGGGAAGCTGGTCATAGTTGATGGGAAGATGGAGCCAAATACAGGGCAATCTTAGAAGAAAACCTGTTAGAACCTGCAAAAGACTTGGAACTGGGGTGGAGGGTCACCTTCCAGCAGGACAACAACCCTAAACATACAGCCAGAGCTACAATGGAATGGTTTAGATCAAAGCATATTCATCTGTTAGAATGGCCAGTCAGAGTCCAGATCTATATCCAATTGAGAATCTGTGGCAAGACTTGAAAATTGCTGTTCACAGATGCTTTCTATCCAATCTGACAGAACTGGAGCTATTTTGCAAAGATGAATGGGCAAAAAAGTCACTCTCTAGATGTGCAAAGCTGGTGGAGACATCCCCAAAAAGACTTGCAGCGTAATTGCAGCGAAAAAGGTGGTTCTACAAAGTATTGACTCAGGGGAATGAATATAAATGCATGCCACACTATTCACATATTTATTTGTAAAAACATTTAAAAGTCATTTATCATTTTCCTTCCACTTCACAATTATGTGCCGTTTTGTGTTGGTCTATCCCATAAAATCCCAATAAAATACATTTACGGTTTTGGTTGTAACATGACAAAATGTGGAAAATTTCAAGACGTATGAATACTTTTTCAAGGCACTGTTTACAGTATGTGCACACTAAGTAGTTGTGCACAAGTAAACTTGAACTTAGGGGTACATTTATACTAGCTGTGGGTCAGGCAAATGCTGATGTCGCATAGATCTGATGACCGCTCACTTCTAAGACACATGAGAAGCAAGATGGATTCTTTAGGACACCCTAACAACTCCTGGTCTATCTATCTTTACATAGTGTTATCTTTACCCTTTTCCAATAAGAATAAGTGTTTGGGCAGTAGTTGAATAGAAGCCCCAAAAATTAACACCCAGCACCCAGATGGCCCTACAAGTACAGTGTAATGATGCAGAGAGCATGACATTACAACCGCTCTCTACATTATTGTAGACTGTCCACCACCAGGAGAAGAAGACCCCATGCATCACATGATAATCCTGTAAGCATCTAGAAAAGGTAAGGATAAAGTAACTATTGCATTAAATATAGCCTATGGGATCCTACAGGTGGAGGGGGAACCTGAAGGCAAGGACAAACTTGTTAACATCACATGAGAGTGTGGTCATTGCATGAGGGCAGATACAAACGAAAAAAAAAATGATGAATTTATTGTAAAATTGAAACATCTCTAGAATAGAAAAAAAAAAATCCCAGTATAAGGAGAGAAAAGGCTATTATCCAAAAATGGTTATAAATCAGCCCCTTGTATCTCCTTATAGGCAAAGTACAACTGATTTCCGCACTGTGCCGTGATTAGCAATATACTGTATATATACATAAACGTACAGTATATATATATATATATATATATATATATATACCTATTTATTAAACCCAGTGAAATCATGCGTAGGAGAAAAGGAACACATGTTATGCATCATTGTGTTCAGGACTCCCTGACACAACTGGACCATGAAGAACATATTACCATTGTCTGTGATACAACCTCCACTATGTCATTCCACATACTGGGGGCTTTACGGACAACATAGTAATAGCATGTCTCTGGTACTCAAGTAGCATCAAAGTTGCATCGAAGTAGTGCAGGAACCTATATGTGTACAAAGTCGCATGTCAGAGTTACAGTAGGTGTAAGGGCTAGGTCTAGGGTTAAATGTTAGGGTTAGAGTTAGGGGCTAGGGTTATTGTTAAGGGTTAGGGTTAATTGTTAGGGCTAGGGGTAAAGGTAGCCGTTAACTCCAACTTTTAACCTTACTTGAGTGCTAGAAAGTGTAAAGTTGCATCAAAGTTGCACTACATGAACAGAGCTGTCATACTTCCCTATTAGCAAGAAAACCCTGCAAAACACATCAAAAACACAATATTTGCATTTTTGGTGCAGGTCCATTGAAGTTTCTTACACATAAAATGCAATCTGATGCAGGAAAAAAAAGTAACTGACCTTTTCCAAAAAACGCACCAGCTCAAAATGCACAGATGTGAACTAGATCCATAGGAAACCATGCTAAATGGACTATAGTGCATTTCTGCGAACTGGAGAATGCACTGAAATCCGCAGTGTGAACCTATGGTCAAAAGGAATTTTTTATGTGAATTTCACATTTGTAGTTGCTTGCTATTCCATATTTTGATTGCTGTATGTCATATACGACTTATAGATACACCCTCTAGTGGTTAGGGGATCAGCACCCAGGCTATCATAAAGAGAAAAATGATTGCAGCTCTGTATTAATTGATACATCATTAAATGTATTTTTAGGCAAGCAGTATAAATACCTGAATTTGACTTGGCACCAGCTTTTTCTGTCCTTTTACTGTCCAATCACAGTCTGGGGGAGGGAAAAGACTTATTAGTGTAACTAAACTGGAACATAGAAAAATCAGGTCTCCTGTCCTGTTCTGTGGGGAAAAACTGTGTAAAACCCAGGACTGGATAGACAGAAATACAAATCCTTTGGCAGGTAAAACAGCTTTTATATACAATCAGCGGGTAACATAAGTATTGAACGTCACCCTTATTCTCAGTAAATATATTTCTAAAGATGCTATTGACATGAACTTTTCGCCACATGTCGGTAACAACCCATGCAATCCATACATACCGTATTTTCCGGCGTATAAGACACTTTTTAACCCCTGAAAATCTTCTGAAAAGTCGGGGGTCGTCTTATACGCCGGTGCGAGCCGGTGTCAGGGCGGCGCCGCCCCCCCCCTCCTCTCCAATGGACACTAAGTACAGGGGTGGACAGAGGGGCTGCTGTACCTTACTGGCTCCGGTCCCACGACGATCCGGTCCAGGAAGCGCGGCTGCTCCTTCTTTCAGTTCGGCCGCTCGATGGTCACGCGGCCGCTCGGCTCCGCCTCCGCACCGGTGATTGGGCGCCAGCACTGGAAAGGCACACAGGCGACCAATCACCGGCGAGGAGGCGGAGCCGAGCGGCCCCGCGAAAATCGAGCGGCCGCACTGGAAGAAGGAGCAGCTGCTCCTCTCCCCTACTGACACTAACGATGGGGCACTATTCCTCCTCCACACTGACACCAACGATGAGGCACTGTTCCTCCCCCACTGACACCAACGATGAGGCACTGTTCCTCCCCCACTGACACCAACGATGAGGCACTGTTCCTCCCCCACTGACACCAACGATGAGGCACTGTTCCTCCCTCACTGACACCAACGATGAGGTACTGTTCCTCCCCCACTGACACCAACGATGAGGCACTGTTCTCCCCACTGATACCAACGATGGGGCACTATTCCTCCCGCTGACACCAATGATGGGGCACTATTCCTCCCCACTGACACCAATGATGGGGCACTATTCCCCCACTGACACCAACGATGGGGCGCTATTCCTCCCCCACTGACACCAATGATGGGGGCCCGCGAAAATCGAGCGGCGGCCGCACTGGAAGAAGGAGCAGCTGCTCCTCTCCCCTACTGACACTAACGATGGGGCACTATTCCTCCTCCACACTGACACCAACGATGAGGCACTGTTCCTCCCCCACTGACACCAACGATGAGGCACTGTTCCTCCCCCACTGACACCAACGATGAGGCACTGTTCCTCCCCCACTGACACCAACGATGAGGCACTGTTCCTCCCTCACTGACACCAACGATTACTGTTCCTCCCCCACTGACACCAACGATGAGGCACTGTTCTCCCCACTGATACCAACGATGGGGCACTATTCCTCCCACTGACACCAATGATGGGGCACTATTCCTCCCACTGACACCAACGATGGGGCACTATTCTCCCCACTGACCAACGATGGGGCGCTATTCCTCCCCCACTGACACCAATGATGGGGCACTATTCCTCCCACTGATACCAACGATGGGGCACTATTCCTCCCACTGACACCAACGATGGGGCACTATTCCTCCCACTGATACCAATGATGGGGCACTATTCTCCCCACTGACACCAAACGATGGGGCACTATGCTCCCCACTGATACCAACGATGGGGCACTATTCCCCCACTGACACCACGATGGGGCACTATTCCCCCATGATGGGGCACTATGCTCCCCACTGATACCAACGATGGGGCACAATTCCTCCCACTGACCAATGATGGGGCGCTATTCCTCCCACTGACACCAATGATGGGGCGCAATTCCTACCACTGACACCAATGATGGGGCGCTATTCCTCCCACTGACACCAATGATGGGGCGCTATTCCTCCCACTGACACCAATGATGGGGCGCTATTCCTCCCACTGACACCAATGATGGGGCGCTATTCCTTCCCACTGACACCAATGATGGAGGAGCACCAATGATGGGACATATCCTCCCACTGACACCAATGATGGGGCACTATTCCTCCCACTGACTAATGATGGGGCACTATTCCTCCCACTGACTAATGATGGGGCACTATTCCTTCACACACTGACACTAATGATGGGGCACCATCATTGGTGTCAGTGGGAGGAATAGTGTCCCATCATTGGTATCAGTGGGAGGAATAGTGCCCCATCATTGGTGTCAGTGGATGAAATAGTGCCCCATCATTGGTGTCAGTGGGAGGAGTAGTGCCTCATCATTGGTGTCAGTGGGAGGAATAGCACCCCATCATTGGAATACCCTACTGAAATACCATACCATATTGAAATCAGATCTGATGTTTTTTCATTTTTATTTGGTGTGCGTTGGAAGAGGGGTAGTCTTATACGGCGAGTATAGCTCAAACCCTATATTTTAACAGGAAAAGTAGGGGGTCGTCTTATACGCCCATTCGTCTTATACGCCGGAAAATACGGTACAAAGAAACCAAAACAAATCAGTTGAGAAATTAAGTTATGTGTAATAAAATGAAATAACACAATGAAAAGTATTGAACACATGAAGAAAGGGAGGTGCAAAAAAGGCATGGAAAGCCAGGACACCATCTGAAATCTATCAGTAAATAGAAAGCAATCCTGCCCCTTGTCAGTGCAAATTAATATTGGCTGGTTCCGTCTCAACTGATGGCCTATAAAAAGGTGTCTCATTATCAAGGTATCAAAGAAGAAACATCGCATGATGGGTAAAAGCAAAGAGCGCTCTCAAGGCCTTTGCAACCTTATTGTTGCTAAACATACTGATGGCATTGGTTACAGAAGGATTTCTAAACTTCTGAATGTTTCAGTGAGCGCTGTTCGGGTCATAATCTAGAAGTGGAAAGAACATCATTCCACCACAAACCGACCATGACAAGGTGCTCCTCGCAAGATTTCTGACGGAGGAGTGAAAAGAATTATCAGAAATGTTGTCCAAGAACCAAGGACCACTTGTGGAGAACTTCAGAAAGACCTGTAATTAGCAAGTACAATTGTTTCAAAGAAAACAATAAGTAATGCACTCAACCACCATGGCCTGTATGCACGCTTACCACGCAAGACTCCATTGCTTTAGAAAAAGCATGTTGAAGCTTGTTTAAAGTTTGCTTCACAACATTTAGACAAGCCTGGAGGTGGGAACATCATGGTGTGGGGTGTTTTTCAGCATACGGTACTGGCAAACTTCATTTGATGGAAGGAAGGATGAATGGAAAAATGTAGTAAGATAATCTTGACAAAAATCTGCTGCCATCTACCAGGATGATGAAGATGAAACAAGGGTGGACATTTCAGCAAGACAATGATCCCAAACACAAAGCCAAGGAAACTCTCAATTGGTTTCAAAGAAAGAAAATCAAGCCAAAATCACACCTGAGCAATGTATGCGACTAGTTTTTCATACAGGAGGTGTCTTAAGCTGTCATTACCAACAAAGGATTTTGTACGAATAAATACATTTCAGTTAGCGTGTTCAATACTTTTTCCCTGTGTCATTCCATTTTAGTACACATAACCTTCTGAACTTAATTGTTTTGGTTTCTTTGTATGGCTGTTACTGACATGTGGTGAAAATGTAATGACAATAACACCTTTAGAAATATATTTGCTGAAAAAAATGGTGACATGTTCAATACTTATTTTGCCGGCTGTATCTTATCTGTGTATTTGTGCTTTTTACCTGTAAACCTGCTTTGGGCTCCATGCACTCTGGCTTAAAAAAAACTCTGCTCCTAGAGGAGTTTAGCGTTTTGCCTGTAGTACAACTAACGTTATCCTCTGTGTTCATGCACATTAGGAAGTCTAGAGGTGCTTTATAAGCTAAACATTTAGAGGCAGAAAAAAAAAACCCTTTCTGTTTTGCATTTTTAAGAACGTTTTTATGGCAGAAAAAAAAAACCCGAAACACTAGTACAAAAAAACCTTCAAAATTAGTGAATTGAAAGCCATGAAATCATTCCCTTATAAGAAGTTCTCTGTAGGAACTATTTTTTTTTCATTCTTTGCCAGGAACCAGGCAGTCCTTTTGCCATCCTAATCCTCCCTCTCACCTGCTATATCCTTAGCAAAAAGGACAAGGGAGTGTTCTGAGCAGTGATGGTCTCCACTCCTTACACCAGTGTAGGATATTGACAAGCTAAGAGGGAGGTGTGGAGAGCCTATAGCCTCTAGGGTGTGAAGAATGCAGAGATGAAGCAATTAAGGGAATCCCAGGTCCTACACTGTGCCTGCCACAGCAACTGGGAGACCTTCTGGAAAAGCCACTAAATATTTCCAAGTGTGCATGCACTATTTTTATCATGCAACTTTGAAGTGTTTGCATTTTAAAAATTTGTTCTGCTTTAGGCTCCTTTCATGCGAAGGGTTCGATGAGGTCCACCTGTCAGTTTTTCAGGTGGACCTGATCAGACCCCCCAGTCACCCCTATGGACCAGAGGGCATAAACAGACTTGTGTCCATTTACATCAGCCTACCTCCAATCCGATCTGGTTTGCTTAAAAAAAAGCAAACCAGTTTTTCAGGTGGACCTGATCAGACCCCCCAGTCACCCCTATGGACCAGAGGGCATAAACAGACTTGTGTCCATTTACATCAGCCTACCTCCAATCCGATCTGGTTTGCTTAAAAAAAAATCTGCTCTCTGTGAAAGGGGCCTTACAATAAAGGTATTAAAACAAAACAAGTTTGTAGGCTTGAATAGGACTTTGTGCCAAAAAGGCAAGCAGGTGCAAAGGACTAGTTAACAGTATTGCCTGTAGCTTCCCTGAAGCTGATCTCTTTCTGTTACTGACTTGCCATAATTTGTTCTGCACTTGAATAGGACTATACTTCTCTGACAAAAAAGGCAGGCAGAGGTCAAAGGGCTAGTTACCAGTATTTCCTGTAGACTCCCTGCTGCTGATCTTTTCCCCATTAATGCCTTACCATGTCTTGTTGCACACTGTATGCAGTGACAGGGCATAACTTCCTCATGTAAATGCTGACCCCCTAATGACTTGTAGGATAATGATCAAGATGTAGCAAGAGAGATAGAGGAAGCACAGATCAACAGAATGGATGAAGGGAGATCCTTGCATTGCAGGTCTTCAGGAGCAGCTTCCTCTCCAGCAAAGATAACACTGAGCAGGACAATAATCCAAATCTCCTGAGACTAGCATTCAGGGACAGCAGTGTCTTAGATGCAGATATACAGCTATGAGACTCAAGGCACAGTGGTGCCTAGGCACCAGAAGACAAGTTAAAATTTACAGGGAACTGCGCAGAGGCTACTAACATTTCTAAATGTACCCTATTAGTGGGGAAAATTTCCCTTTTTGAGTTTGGGGCCACTTTAAAATAATAATCATAAACCATTATAGTTTTCCTTTCACCACTTTTATGATTGCTCTATAGGATGATAACATCACAAATAATAACTTCCAGCATACATCATTGGAATTGTCTTTGGCATGCTATTCAGAACGGTCCAGAGTAGCTGAGTTTTTCTTTTTTTTCTTCCTACAAAACCAAAAGCCTCATGAAAGAGCCAATTTTGACATTTTCCTTCTAAGGAAACAACACAAAGGAACATCATTCCACGAACACTATTGGAACATACTGGCTTTGTTTCTGAAAATACCCTGACAAGATTCCTTTTTTTCATGTCCTCTGCTTCGCCTTATCCAAATGGGAAATGCATGAAACGGAGCAGACGTCGGGGGCTGAATTAATTTTGGTGGAGAGGAAGAAGCGGCATTTTTATTTTAATTATGATTCAGTCAATTAAACGGTTCACACCAGAGAAAAAAGGATTTTTTTTCAGTTCTATGACTTAATAATACACTAACCTACATACAGCTTGGCTTACTTTGTTTTTTTTTTTCCTGGAAACTCCAGCTATGGATGCGTCTAATTTTGTAGTAAGGTTACCTTCTTGCTGCGTGCCAGAGATGAATGTGATGGATGTGATACAATATGACTTCATACCACATTAACTTCCAATGTTTTATTCAGCATTGGTCTACTTCAGACTGAAAATACATTGTGACCTACAGGATTTCTAAATGATCAAACAGCTCATCAAACATTCCTCTAGTAATAAATAAAAAAAAATGAAGCCTTTGTCAAGGCTTGAAGTGTTCTGAAAGACAATCGTTGAACGATACGCTTTTTAGACAGTGGTGGAAATGAATCATAGAGCTGACACATAAAAAGTGTACCTACAGTATCTCCTACAGTCAGTGCTTACATTTTCTTTAGTGCCCTGAAACATAGTTGTTAGATTGCTAGGAAATAGTGGCACATTATTCACATAATGTCTACACATATTTCTTTATGGTATCTAATGCAAGGAGCCACAGTTGTCTCACAGGCTGGACTTCAAAAATGTTTGCCATTTTTCATCTGCATTACATGGTGGATTGATGAAACTAATAGTTTGAAGAAGTGGGTGAGAAAACCCAAAACTAAAGCAGTCATTGTGGCAGAGGAAATCTCACTGTGAAAGTTTAAAGATAAAAAAAACTACATTGCTCCAAGTCCCAAACTTGATATTCAGGACCTCCATTGTTGCAGGTGTCAGTCAATAAAGAGCTCATCCAGCTCAACAAATGTAGCAAGAGTAAAAATACAGACCCTCACATAAAAGCTATCCTGTTAGGTTCATTCAATGTAATTGACTTCCAACACAGTCCCTGCTTTAACGCATGCTCTTCTGACACATTTCACCCCAAATGGGCTTTTTCATAAAGGTGACCCTCTATGATTATGCCCCAATGGGGTGTGGCTTAGGTGTTGGAAATCAGATACATTGAATAAACAGGATGACTTTTATGGAGTGAGGGACATCTCACTATTGAAGCATCCAAGACACATACAAAGCTAGGCTAAACCTATAATGTTCAAATCACTTTTCATTGGACTAAATCTTTGATTAAACAGCCATTGAATTGTCTAATCAACACATTAGCCACCGCTAATGTATGCAACTTTTTAGATGCATCCCAATGTGTATCTTATTACGCTTTCCTGTCTTTGTACGGCCTGTGACCAATATGCTACTGTTAGTGGGTCTACTGATGTGACCGCATCAAACATCCACAGACAGGAAATGTGAGCTGCAGCTTAAACTCAGGCCAGATATCTCATGTGGATGCCCGCCAGTCTTACAGACACATGCTCACCGGCTGTGTGGAATCTGGATGAACTTCTGGGTCATTTTGCATATTATCTTTGCAGAATGAGGTGTAGAGTTTATCGGTTCTTTGTGCATTTGTACTTGTGGTAGCTAATCAAGGATAGTTGCCAATATGATAAAGAAACAATGTCACTATAAGTCCAAATAAGTAAAAAGGCTACCACAAGCAATGGATAGAATCATATACTGTAACTCAAAAACTGTAACAGCAGAGTAAAAGTACTGTAAAACTTTCAACTAAATATGCAGATATACAGATCATATCAAGATATCACCTTCTCAGGTGGCTATTCATACCATCCCTGTGATGACAACCCCTGGAGCTTTAGTGTAACAGAGCCTTGATTAGTGATTGCATGGTAAGTTTGAAGGGAAGGGGGGCATTTTTATGAATATTAATGCTGAACATTTTACAGTATGTCCATAATGTTCAAGTATGTACATGGAGTTCTGCTGACTGGGACTATGGAGGACAGGTGTGCTTCTGAGGCTATTTAGATAAGTTATTGGGTATATGCACTCCCCTAAACACAGCATACATTATTGGAATTGTCTTTGGCAAGATCTGTGGCCTTGTCCTCTTTCAGCTTGAATGTTCTTTTTGGGGAAAGGCTTTTGTTGTTAACAAACCTTTTTAGCCATTGCTTCTCAACAGTCAAGAGCTGCATAATAAATGACATAGTGCACTATTTGCCTTGTTACGCAAATACCAAATAACATGTTACTGCTGTAACCACTGTGTCCTCTATTGGTGGCTTAAAAGAATCACAATCAAGATCACACAATTCTCAGGATGAGGCACTGCTAATCTATAGTGCTATATGCTTTGGCAATTTGTTATCCAGCTCAAGAGATGATACCTGGAATTACTGGTGTGGTGAGCTTGAGCACATCTGTTGAACTGGATAACAACTTGCTGGTTATTCTGCATTGGAAAGTCAAACCAGGCTGCAGTGTGGGCTGGACTGTCTATAAGTCCAATTAAAAATGACTTCTGATACAATATTGGCTTAACATATATATTTTTTTTATTTCATCAACAACACTTTTATCTCCCACAGCCTCCTCTGCTCATTTCCGTGTCTGTGAGCCTTATACAGACAGTAAAGGGCGATATCACTTCGGGTTCCACTGCCCGCGCCTTTCAGACAACAAGTCGTACGTCCTGTGCTGCCACCATAACAACACCGTCTTCAAATACTGCTGCAATGAGACGGAGTTCCACAGCGTCATGCAGGTGAACCTCACTATGGGCTCAGATGGATATATGCACAAGTAAGTGAAGGACAGGTACACCTTGTCATTTGTAAGCACAATACGGTCAAAACTATGTAGACATCCCACCGTATTACTGAGTTCAGGTTTTTGCACTGAATGGCATTTTAGCACTACAGCATACAAACACAGCATACATTTTTCTTAAAGCCCAACTCTAGGCTAATATTTATCAATGTCCTCCGGGCGGTTATAAAACATAAGAGCAGCATACTCACCTCCTCTCTGACTCTGTCCCTCACAGTAATTTCTCTTCAGCACTAAATGTCCTCAACCTCCAGGGCTGAGTGATAACTACCATCATTCAACCTGAAAGACTGAGAACATCCTGTGAAAGCAGGGGGTCATAGACCCGTCCTCTAAGGGAACTGCAGAGGTGGGAAGAGATGGCATGGCATGGCTGGGGCGCATTGGGGACAGTTCATTCTCACTCCTCACCCTGCTGTCCCCCTCCACCAAAAGTGAGCGCTCTCATTCCATGTCCAGCTTTTTACCAGCGAGCTAGGCATTATTTAATGTTTGAGAAAAGGTTGAGATTGTTTCGGCCCCAAAACCTAGCCCTGCATGCACAGTATAATGATGCAGAGAGCGGCACTGATGTCATTAAGCCTGTGATCAACACTGCATCATTTTAGATTAAAGTGTATGTTACCCCAACATATTACATTCCCGATATGTGCCTGTTCTACCATGTACTTGTGTTAAAAAGTATTCGGCTCTTTTTTGCATTGCTTCCTTTGTGTGAAATACATAGTTATCTAGGTAGCCACCCTGCCTTCCTATTGCAAACTGACAATGCTAGGCACAAGAGTTCATCCATCCCATTGGGGCAACGTGGCCAGTTTTTTAGCTGTGCCAGGAGCACAGCCTTCCTGCCTCTGACATTCCCCCCCGCTTTTATATATACTAATTAAATATATATCTATATATACTAAATATGTACCAGGGGCGGACTGACCATTTGGAAACTCGGGCAGTGCCCAAGGGATTGGGGTCAGTAGGGGGCCCCATGAGATGCCCCTGGTACCTTTTTCATAGGCTTTTTTCAGTTTGGGCAAGGACACAGGGGCCCCATGATCCCCTATTGCCCAGGGGCCATGAGTTGTCAGTCCGCCCCTGATATGTACAGTATGCGCACACTAAATATATATATATATAGTCCCTGGCCAAACGTTTTGAGAATGACACAAACATTAATTTACCTGCAAGGAAACACGTGCAGACATCATTGCATTGCATAAAAAGGGATTCACAGGCAAACATATTGCTGCTACTAAGATTGCACCTAAATCAACCATTTACCAAATGATCCAGAACGTCAAGGAGAGAAGTTCAGTTGTAGTGAAGAAGGCTTCAGGGCACCCAAGAAAGGCCAAAAAGTGCCAGGACCGTCTCCTAAAGTTGATTTAACTGCGGGATTGGGGCACCACCAGTGCAGAGCTTGCTCAGGAATGGCACCAGGCAGGTGTGAGTGCATCTGTATGCACAGTGAGGTGAACACTTTTGGAGGATGGCCTAGTGTCAAGAAGGGCAGCAAAGAAGCCACCTCTCTCCAGGAAAAACATCAGGGACAGACTGATATTCTGCAAAAGGTACAGGGATTGGACTGCTGAGGACTGGGGTAACATCATTTTCTCTGATGAATCCCCTTTCTGATTGTTTGGGGCATCCGGAAAAAACCTTGTCAGGGGAAGAAAAAGGTGAGACCTACCATCAGTCCCGTTTCATGCTTCTCAGTCAAGGAAGTGGGCTCATTCACAATTTTGCTTAAGAACACAGCCAAGAATAAAAGAATTGTACAAAAACATAGTTCAAGAACAACTTCCCCCAAGAACAGTTTGCTGACAAACAATGCCTTTTCCAGCATGATGGAGCACCTTGCCATAAGGAAAAAGTGATAACTAAGTGGTTTGGGGAACAGAACATTGACATTTTGGGTCCATGGCCAGGAAACTCCCAGACCTAAATCCCATTGAGAACTTGTCATTCCTCAAGAGGCAGGTGAACAAAAAAACCCTCACAAATTCAAACAAACTCCAAGCATTGATTAGGCAAGAATGGGCTGTTATCAGTCAGGATGTGGCCCTGAAGTTGATTGACAGCATGTCAGGGCAAATTGCAGAGGTCTTGAAAAAGAAGGGTCAACATTGCAAATATTGACTCTTTGCATAAATTCAATGTAATTGTCAATAATGAAATGCTTGTAATTATACTTCCGTATACCCTAGTAAGATCTGACAAAAACACTGAAGCAGAAGACTTTGTGAAAATTAATATTTGTGTCATTCTCAAAACTTTTGGCCAGGACTGTACAAATGTTTTGGTAATGTTAGGTAGGGGCAGTGGTGTCCTTAGGCAGGTGCGGGGGGGTGTGTGCGCACTGGATGACACCTACCGCACAGGGTGACACCGGACCCGCTCCACGAAAGGGAAGTTATAAAGCAAGCCGACAATCCCCGCAGGATGGATCGGATCTGTGGACTGGGGAGCATAATGGATTGGACTCCATTCCATTATGCTCAATCCGCAGATCCGATCCATCCTGCGGGGATCGTCGGAGGGGGTGTCACCAAGTGTTACCGGGTGACACCAAACCTAGGGACGCTTCTGGGTAGGGGTTCACATACTCTTCACGATGGGACCAATAGTCATGCGATCTCAGACTGAAATCATAACTTTGGTCATGTGCTCTTAGACTAAAACCATAGCATTGGGCACTTTATTTTATCCAGTGAGACTTCGGGTTGTGTACTGCAGCCAGAGCAGCCATTTTACATGAAGTCTGAGCCATACTTTGATGAAAAAGAATGTGACCAATTCTACAGCATTAGACACATGATCACAGTTAACAGAGGAAAAAATTAAGGTAAGTATTGCTGGTTTGGTTCTTGTAAGTGCAGCCTTACCTCTCAAAGAAGCTGCTGACAAGAGACCTGTGCTTGCAGGGCTGTGGATAAGGGGGTACCAGTGGTCCTCTTGTATGGGGCTCAGGTCAGGGTGAATCGGATGTGTGCAGGGAGGGTGATTGACTTTGGGGTGGCAATTATTGGAACCGATCCCCTGTATGGCTCTCTCTGCAGCTGCTGAAAGCTGGCTCCTTCTCCTCTCCCTCCTGCTGGCTTTCAGCTGCTGCAGAGAGAGTTATACAGGGCATTAGTTCCAGTAATTGCCCCCCCCCCGGTGCACCCATCACCCTTCCTGTCCACCATACATTTCCCCCTGCTTCCCTGGCCCCCCTGTGTGCCCCCCACTCCTGCAGTGCTGCCAGCTGCCCTCCCTCCTTCCCACCGGCAGCTGCAAGCACACAACAGGATCCTTCATGATGGGGGGGAGGGGAAGGGTCCGGTAAATATGTCACATTTATCAGCCCCTTCCTTTCCTGAATGAACACAATGGGTGATCAATACTGATCACCCACTGTGTACATTAAAACTGATGCATAGTAAACTTTTCTTTGGGGGGGGCTATCAGGTTGGCTGTATGGGGCCCTGTGGTTTCTAACAGCAGCCCTGTGTGCTTATAATCACACTGGAAGAAATAACATTAAAGGTCCAAAATACACATCTGTTCATTCTCATTGTGTTTAATCAAGCCCTCATGAAGGGGGCATTTTTGGACCCCTGAAAATCATTGGCTCATCTTTGTATTGTCCCCTTGACTTTTATTAGAATAACGTTATATCTAGACCTCTTAGAAGCGGTGTGGCCCTTCAAATTCCATTTTTGTTACATTACTCTCAATGAAGCTGTTAGAATTGCATTAAAAATACAACTCAAGGCTTTGTCAAAGTGTATCTAAACCAAATAAAAAACATGTAATACATTCCAGCTTACCAGTCATCAAATGTGGTGACTGTATTTGTTTTTTTGTTTCAGGTTTTGTGTACTTCATTTATACCTGGCGACCCTGCCAGTAAACTCAACCTGCCATGGGGTGACAACACACCCATACCTGAGGAAAATGTATCTGATATGAGTGCAGCAGAGGCAGAGTTAGCTCACAAAATTTCTGGCAGGATCAACAGTTATGTTTCGCAGAAAAGCTGCTGCAGCCCAACTGACTGATTTGCCAGATTGCAACGATCTGAACCAGCCTCAGAGGATTTCACAGTAGTGACCAGGGGCGGACTGACCATTTGGAAACTCGGGCACTGCCCGAGGGCCCGGGGTCAGTAGGGGGCCCCATGAGATGCCCCTGGTACCTTTTTCATAGGCTTTTTTGAGTTTGGGCAAGGACACAGGGGTCACATGATCCCGTATTGCCCAGGGGCCACATGAGTTGTCAGTCTGCCCCTGGTAGTGCCTGCAATGAGTCACTTACCTTTAGCAATGCACATATCTTGGGGGTTTCATTCATTATAAATGACCAATTTACCCTCCACCAGCAGCCTGAACAGAGTTACCAGCACTGCGCTCAGGCAGAAGACAGTGTAGCCTCCATGTGGGTGCTACAGTCTCACACTGGGCTCACATCTCTGCTCTAACAAGGAGAAAATTCAAGTGAGTAACAGAGCCCACAGCTATTACTAAGAAAAAATAGCTGCATCATTAGACCAAATTGAGTTGGGATTCAGATTTTTTTCAAATGGTTTACTGATAATTTTTTTTAAAGGAAACTTTATTATCCATTTGAAGACCAAGCCTTTTCTGGCACTTTTAGTTTACATATAATTTATGAATTTTAATGGAAAAAAACACAACACGTAACCCGTATAGTTTTATAAACTATAAAAGGTGATGTTACACCGAGCAAATAGATACCAAACATGTCATGCTTGAAAACTGTGCACACCCATGCAACAGGACAAATTATGTAAATTTTACTATCCATAGGTGATGCTTTGAAAGCCTTTAAATTTCAACACTTTAGATTTACAGAGGAGGTCTGGTGCTAGAATTCCTCATGATCTGATGTTTGCGGCAATACCTCACATGTGTGGGCCGATCGCTGTTTGTGTGCGGGCGAGACTGACTCATGCATTCGCCTTTGTGCGCAAACGC